CGTGCATGGCGACAGGTCACGTCGCGCGGCGTGACACCGACGGCGTGGTGTCACGCCGTCACGGCGTGACCGCTCTGTCCGGCGCGATGCGGCGGCCGCCGGCCGGGCTGCCCCGCCAGATCGACGGATAGCCGTCCACGTCGGCGCCGGCATCTCGCGGGCCGCCGCCGCCACTTCGCCTGTGGTACGGCCGGTGCCGCTGGGACGTCGGCAGCGGTGGTCGCGCCACATTCTATACTTCCCGTCGGCGATCGGGTCCTCACCAGTGAGTGAGCGCAGGGACATGCTGCGCCGTGCGCCGAGGTAACGCCGGCGCTCAGCTGCCGACCGGCGCCGCTGAACAAGTGCGTGGGCAACTGATAGCGGGTATTCGCAACAAAGACACTCGGTCCCTGACCTCCAGACAAGAGAAAACCATGCGTTCCGTGGGTATGACCGATACGGAGGCGGACAATGGCTGACTTCCTCTCTTCTGCTGTCCCGGTGTGAGAAACCAACCAACCGTGAGCCAACCGTGTCAACTGCGCGGAGTTTATTTCTGGCGTTGCCCAGCGAATCCCGCTAACCTGGTCCCAAAACCCTCGTTAGTTGTCCTTCAGACGGAAAGTCAGCAACGGCTTGAGACCACAGGCGGGGTCCTGACGTACGCTGATTACAGCACGGCAGGCGATAGAGAAGTCGGGAGCGCCAGGCTCTTCGGCGGTGCCGGGACCACTGATACACATCCGCCATTGGGCCGCTGTACGCACGGCAGACGACACGTGCGAATTACAGGCCAGTGGAGCATCGTCTCCGGCCCAAGGCGCTGGCTGCAAGCATGGTGGACAGAGTCCGCTTTCAGTAAAAGCGTCTTATATCTTTTCCAACGAAGCGAACGGACTTAAGATGCCACGCCGCAACTGAGAGGCCAACGGCCTGTTCGAGGCGAGACCAGCAACATCGGCCCGGCTCAGTACCGACCCCAGATGTCGGCGTTAACGGAAGCGCCGCTGAACAGCTCGAGTGAGACGAACCGGCGAAGTTCAGGACGCAGCATCGACCGACGGATCGGACGGAGGACCTCTGGAGCCGGGCAGAGGTCCTCGCGCGCGCCCGCCGCTGACCGGGCCCGGACCACCAGCCGTCACCGCGCCAGCGCCGAGCGCCGTTCTCCCGTCACGACCGCCGCTTCAGGAGGCGAGCACACGCCGCCCGGCCGGCCGGCCACGCATTATGGAGGCGGCACAGAGCACATACCTGCGAAGGGCCGGTGCGCTGGCGCCGGCTCGCCCGGTGGTGCCAGCTCGCATGCCCGCGCCGCCGGGCGTCCGGTCACAACTGACGGGCTCCGCCGCCGCTGGGGCGAGCGGCGCCGCCACGCGGCGCGGCGCCACCTCGCGGCGCGCCGCCGGTCCGAGAGGCGGAGCCGAGCCGGCCGACGGGGCGCCGCCGCCCAGATCAAGAGCCCCCGCGCGCAGCAGCGGGCCCGGTCCGATGCGTGTCGCACCAGGAGCGACCGGCTCGCCTCCGTCCAGGCCCATTGGGTCACAACTCAGACACCCGAATCCCCCGCGGTCTCATCCCGGAATATCAGAACCCTCGGCTCCCTCCCTCAGGTCTACCTCAGCCCATTAGACCTAGCCTGGGAGATCCGACTTCTCAGTCCCGTCCCAGGACACCAGAACCATTGGCACCGTCTACAGACCGTGGTCCATCAGGTCCACCCCATGTCACCAGACCCCGCGGTTCAACCTCGGGTCACGGCCGTCCACTGGCCCCGCCCCAACACAGGACCCCGAAACCCCCGCCCCAGCCGCTCCCAGCCGGGGGCAACGGCGAGCGCGCCTTCACCACCGGCCCGACCCCGCTCCCATGCCGGCGGCGCCGCTCCCAGGCGGCCGCTTCCCACACGACCCGCTCTCCGCCGCCGGCCGCCGACCGCCGACCGCCGCCCACAGACCAGCAGCCGCCGCTACCAACCCGCTACCCGGCCCCAAATGGGACGTGTGGGCGGCGCCGCCACGCCGGCGCGCAGCCGGCGCGCCCGTGGCCGATATACGCGGTCCAAAACGCCAGCGTCGGACGAGGCGGCGGCCGGCCGGGCTAGCGGTGGCGCGCCGCCGCGACGCCTCATCGCCCGGCTGCCGGCGGGAAAATCACGCTTGGCGAGTTCCCGGGAGACGTTCGCAGGGTGTTATTATGACAGGAGCTCAACGCCCGCGCCGGGCCGCTGAAACGCGCCACGCTGCCGGCAGTTCGCGGTGCTGGTCTTCGCGCTGGTTGAAGTACCGTTACCTTCAAAGCCCTCTCAAAATACAGCACGGCGCGGCACAGCACGGAGAACTAGACATTCAGACATCCTGTCCGCAAACAAGGACATCGCATGTATTATGGGACGATCAGCATACGAGCCCGCTCGCCATCCGGAGCGTCACGTGCTCTGTTGTCAGGACGTCGGCCGCGCGTCCGCACGTGCTAAAATGCTTTGAAGGATTTATGGGGACGTTTACTAGTTCTAAGCAGTCTCCGACGAGACTTTGCGGCATAAACGACGTCCTTCCCGAGGGAGTTGTTTGCGGCCAGCGAAAGCACGCTAGAACCATTTCCAACACGGACGTCTGCTATGTTCTAGACATTGCAGGCTGTTGGAGAACACATCGTACATCACGCCGCCAAAAAGGCTAGGACTTTGCCCAGACGAAACAATCTCGCTCAAGCTGACCCTTGATGTCATTTTTGGGTGGCAGGCCAGATTTTACCATGAAACACAGCTGTCGCTCACAAACGACGTCGCCTGCAAAAACGAACTCGTCCAAAAGACGGCACGCTCCACATGCCTCCAGGGTCAGTGACGTGCTTAGCACCAGGCTCGTTCAGCACCAGCATCTGTCGCACACCGAATAGATGGGATCCTGTACGTGATCCTGACAGATGTGATCCAGCAAGCACGGTATCGTGGGCCGGGGTCAGCGCCGCGAGAACGAGCCGCCAGCGCGGCAGGCGCGGGGAGGCGTCCGCACCGCGAAGCCCGAGCGTCTGCCGTGGCGCGTTATCCGCCCTGTACGCGGCACTGACCGCTGACTCAGGGGGGCGTCCACCGCGCCGCGCGCGCGCGCCCGCGTCGAATCTGACGCACATTTCCTGGCGCGCCCGTCGGCATACCCTGCCGCTGCGTCACACGTACACACGCGCCGCCCAGCCCGCTGGCGGCGGCCGGCGGCGCCATCAAACAGCCCGGTATCCAACGCTATCAGCGGGGCATCCCCGCCCAATCAGCCGGCGCGCACGGCAGCATCACACCTCACCGGAGCAGCGCCGCGGGGCGGAGAGCGGCGCACTGATGACGGCCGACACCGCAGCCGACGCAGCCAACTGTCGCCGGCCGGCCGGCCGCGGCCGACCGGGCTGCACCGGCGCCGCCATGGCAACACGTCAACAGATGTCCGGCCAGCGCGCGGTCGGCCGCGCCGCTAACGGCCAGACGTGTTTGTGCAAGGTGGGCCGTTTTGGCACACGTCTGTTGCGCGAAGCCAGGTGGCGGCCTTCTTAAAGTGGGACACAGGAACGTGCTCGGTTCCCCCGAAATGGCTTCACCCTTTGTCAAAGTCGGAACACGGCTCACCATGGCTTGGCAAAACATGGGCGGCATCGCTGGAAACGGCACAAAGATGGAATGCCAATGACACACTTTGTACCGGGAACGGCGGGGTGCGGCATCGACTTCCCCAGGGCAACCGCCCGATCATGCTATGCGCCGATCTATACGCTGCAGCCATTCCCCGAAGTGGGGCCAATGCGAGACTGCATGACAGCGGCCCAAACACACCAACGACACCGTCTTCCCATCACGGCTAACGACACCTCCGCTGCTGGCATATTTGCCATTCTTAGCGGCGGGCAGTGTCTGCCTGACGGATCGAGCCGCCCCGTTGTTACCCCCCGGCCAGCAGCGACCAGCGCCACGCAGTCCGCCGACCGTGGCGGCCGCGACTCGGACCCAGACCGGCGGCGCCCTCGCCGTGCCCTGGGGGCAGGCCTGCCGGGGTCACGGGGTCACAGCGGGCCGCAACCTACGCGCCGCGCACGTGCCGGAGCCGGCGCTCCGCGGATGTTTGTGAGAAACAGGAAGCTCAGGCTAAACATTGGCAAGATCCCGACTGGACAACATGACGACTGGTGGCAAAACGGAGGGAGGTCTCCTGCGCAGGGACGACATCTGCCGCAGCGAGGCGCCGGCTAATTACACAACGCCTTCAACTTACCGGACATGTTTGAAATTTCAGATGGGCAAGTCCCTCATGCCAACTATGAGCAAGACAATTGGGAGGCAAATGCACGTTGTCATGCAACAGTAAAAAATGTACTGTTTTCATTGAAAGCGGCTTCAAAAGTTTCCTGTCAAAAGTAAAAGCCTATCACCCTGTAGATCTTCCCCACTTTAGACCATTTAGACTTAAAAGAAAATAATCGAAAACACATTTTACCCAGCCAAAACCAGAACTGAGTGCGCTTTCCAGTTCATTGGACTGACAGCAGAGTGCTAATCAGATCTTGATTTGCCACATTTAGCACCTAACCTTAAACATGGGTTCCCCAATGCCCATTACAGATGTCCGCAATAAGCAACGGGGGGAGGGCGCTGGTGGTGATGTCGGTGATATTTTGAAGGCAACTATTTCAACAAATCGTCACACGATACTACCGTTATTGTGACATCATGCATTTCTGAACTGTTTAACGCTAATCGTTCACGAAAAGAGGGGAGGGCACTGAGTCAAGTTCAGTCTTGCATGAACTCTTGGAGAACGTGGCAGATGCGCAATGCCCACGCCGGCATCCGATGACGTCAACCTGGTTTTGACTACTCGACATTGAAATACGCTCATCCCGTCACCTTTCACGTACCACCTAGTCCCAGCATCCTCCACCCGTATCCCTGCGTCGAACTGACACGCCCAAACACGATAAGTTTGGATAGTACACCAAGGTCACGCCGCGAAGCTGAGGTTGCAAATACTCACCACAGATGGCTCTGTGCTGACGGGTGACGTGGACTCGTGCGTGCCCTTGTCGCTCTCCTCGCTGTCGTCCATGTAGCTCAGCTTGGTGGGCGCGGCGGGCACGAAGGGCCGCGCCGGGTCGCCGAGGGGGCCCGACAGCGGGCGCGGCGGCGGCGCCGGGGCGGCCGGCACCACCGCCGCCGACGCGTGCAGCGGCTGCGGCACCACCTTCTGGCCGAGCTCCACCACGGGCGGCATGCCGGCCGAGCCGACCACGATCGGGGGCAGTCGCTCCAGGAAGCTGCCATCGCTGCAACAGGAACGGACCGCCGGTCACGGGCAGCGGTCGCCGACGCACGCGCCGCCTCAGCACAGTCACTGCACAGCCCGGCGGGCCAACAACGCCGCTTAGCCCTGCAGAACACAGTGACGACGGCGCACCACGAGCCAGCACGTCCGTGGTCGGGCCCTGCGGTCTGTACGCTGCGACATCTGTCGGCGGTCATGGAGGGTATCGTGCGTCACAGCGCACGGCAGGCCGAGCGAGAAGGCGTGCGAAGCTCCGGGACCCGAGTACTCAACCAAACGCTCAAAGTCCACTCACTCCCACGACGTCACGCACACAGGGCACCACCAGAGGTCGGTCACAGGAGCCTCGTCGCACGCAACACAACATCGCACGTGGCTCAACCAGTAAATTCGCGTGCCAACCAGCCTTCGACCTCGGCGGCCTGGCCCGGAGGATGACCGCTGGGAAGCTCTCGCCGAGCGCGACTCCAAAACTCGCCAAAACCGGCGTCGGTGCGTGCCACACCCGGTTGACCACCGGGCTGGCCGCCAGACCAGCACTGAAGCCACACCCGGTCGACCACCGGGCTGGCCGCCAGACCAGCACTGAAGCCACACCCGGTCGACCACCGGGCTGGCCGCCAGACCAGCACTGAAGCCACACCCGGTCGACCACTGAGCTGGCCGCCAGACCAGCACTGAAGCCACACCCGGTCGACCACCGGGCTGGCCGCCAGACCGGCACTGAGAATCGCCTCGGCCAGCGCGCCAGTCACGCCGCCGCCGCCGTCTGAGATCACGCTCTCTGGAGCAGCGTCGCGTCCGGGGTGTCCCGTGACCCCCCGGCCCCAGCCGACCGGACCGGACGGCGTCCGGACGTCCGGTCCGGCGGCACCGCTCGGTCCCACTCCGCCGGAAGTGGCCTCGGCCGTGACGCAGCGCGCCACGCTGCTCCGCCGCTGGGCGCCGAGAGAGCGGCAGAACCCGCGGGAGACCACGGTCGAGATTCAGGGGAACGTTCCCTAAAGACAGCGAGGCTGGTAATGCCTCGCCAGCCTCGAGTCTGAGGGTCATGCGCCAAAGACACACACTGAAGATATGGCATGTGATAACGGAAGCCTTGGGCCACAGATAGCTGAACCCAGAACCTCGGACAAATGCACCTAGTCATCTAAGCACACCGATCAGACATTCGGACGCATTCGGCATCCCGCACATGGGTGCGTGTTAGCCCCGCGCCTTCCGTGGCAGCCCGATCGACTCAGCGCACCAGCGTCACATAACGGAGATACAGTAGCCACACGCGCCATAGGGCCCCCATCAAGCCCAACAAACGACACCGCGGGGAGAGTCGCTGGTCGTCGTCGGTCGCCGGTCGTCGGTCGTCGTCGGTGGTCGGTGGCAAGTCGTCGGCCGTCGGTCGTCGGTCGCCGGTGGTCGGTGGTCGGTGGTCGGTGGTCGGAGATCGGCCGTCAGTCGTCGCCGTTGTCGCCGGAGGGCAGGCGTGTTCCCCGCGCCGGTGCTCTGCTGCCGCCCAGGTGGCGCCACTCACGCGCGCGGTCGGCGGCGGCGCAGCAGCGACGGCGGCGGCTCGAACAGCGCCCTCTTGCGGGCCACGTTCCCGCGCAGCGCCTCCAGCAGCGCCCGCACGCTGGTGATCGGCTCGCTCAGCATGAGGCCCGAGCACGCGCAGGCGGAGCGCACCAGCATGCCTCGGAGCGCGCCGCGGTACCCCGGCACGTTGCGACGGACCTGACGGCCCCTCCACTCGCGGCGGCCGCGACCCGCGCCGGCGCGCACTCTTCGACCTCGCTCGGCCGTGGCGGGCCGAGACCAAAACACTCGTGGCCTCGCTGCTCGGCCGCGCTCGGCCGTTCACTCTCAAAGGCGCGCCTTGGAGGGGACTGAACTCCACGCCTGGGGCGGACGCTGTCACCTCCGAAGTTCCGACGCGGTGACGCCGTCCGTCCGGTCGGCGGCCTCCTCCGCGGGCGGACTGACAGAGCAGCGGCGGCGGCGGGGGTGGCAGCGCTATCAGCAGGCACCGCCACCACGTCCGGTCGGGCCCCCGTCTGCGCCGGGCGCGCCGCTCGAGTTAGACGCCCGGCAGGCAGTCCGCTCACCGACGCGTCCGGGAGCTACTCCGGCTCCACGCTGGGGACCGCACCGGGCCACGGCGAAAGTCGCGGCCGGGCCGGGTCGCTCACGGCCGAGCGCCGTCTCACCACTGCACCGCCGGTCGGGAGCGCTGCGGCCACCGCACAGTCCGCGCCCGCGGAAGGACGCCTCGCACGAATGTTACGCGTGTCCCCTGACCAGCGGGGTCACAGTCGGTAGGCCAACCAGGCCGCGCGTGCCTCCCGCTCGGCCCAAGTCCTCGGCCGCCGCAGCACTCGTCCCGCGGCGCGACACCGCCCGACCTGGTGCCGCCGGCGCTCGGCTCGCGCCGTCACAGACCGCGCCCATCCTCCGGCGGCCCCTCCACTGCCGGCTGCGGGCGGGCCGGGCGGCCGCTAGCCGAGCGAAAATAAACAATGAAACGCCGCCCGATTCGGAGCCGGCGCCGATAGTGGCCGCCTGATGATAGGAAGCGGCGCGGCGCCGCGGAAGCGGTTCGGCGGCGCCAGCTCGGCTTGAGCATGTAAAACCTTCTCTCGAATTACCTGCTGTCTGTTCAACCGAGAACTCCATGGCGCTATGCGGCACCACCACATGGGAAGATACCACTGCGCACACCGCACTGGCCCACGCGGTGCGACGCACGAACGCACGAACAGTCAGTCTCATCATCAGCCAAGACGGATCCTACTGCCAACACCTGCGCCGACGTGTCCCCGCCTCAGAAGCGTCCGAGTTCGGGAGACGCGAGCCGCTCACCGCTGGTGTCCAGGGGAAGCCGGGCTGGCTGACCAGCCGTGTGCCCCACACCCCTGACGCGGGGGTCGCCATCGGCCACCGGACGGCCCAGAGCGGACGGGAACGGTCAGCGGCCGGCTGTGACATCAGGCGTCGGTCACCGCCGCAGGCGAGGCTGGACCATGCACACGAACCGAGGCACCGGCAGACCAGAGCCGGCAGGCGAGCAGAACGGTGAGGCACAGCGGCTGTCATATTGGAAGAGCAGATGTGATACCGCCTTCATGAGCTGCATTTTGTGTCGGAGTCACGCAACAGGACCCGCCAATCCGGGACCTATCCCCGCTGATAAGCCCGCCACAACAGCCAGAAGGCGCCAGATCAGGTGCCGCCAGTAGCAGCGGGACGGCGACTAGGTAACACACTGCTGGCACCGGCGCGGCGCACGCTTGTGCACCACGCCTAGTCGCCGGCAGGCACCGACGGGCGCGGACACAGACTGTGCCAGTGAGGCAAACTACAACTTCACGCCTCTTCGACAGATGGCAGGCGCCGCAATGCCAGCGTGATCGACGCAATCCCACCAGCGCTGCACAGAGATGCAGTCAATCAAATGCACACCAGCCCGATTTCCGGTTATATAATTTGGCGCTTTGTTTACGACAGTGGCATTCTCGCCCACTCAAGCTATCCCCCCGCCGGGGGATACATGACTGTCATAGGCAATGGTGTGCAAAGGCATGTGCACCACCGCAACTGCTAGGTCAGCAGACATGTGCTGATTTCCAACCGTCACGTGAGTCCTGGACCCGCCTGTGACAATGCCAACGGACCATTTGCAGTTCCTGCAACCGTTGACGTCGTCGAGCCTGGTCCGCGGGTCAGGCCAGCAGACACCGGTCGGGGAATTTCCACGCCGATCATGAATCAACAACTGTCGCTTTCCTCCAGCCAGCATTCCTGGCGCGTTCGGGGGGCGGGGGGGGGGGGGGCGGGCCCCACCCGCGTGTCACCGCGAGCAGCGCGCCATGCGGCAGCAGCCGCACGCCTTATTCGTCGAACCCGTGGCAGCGCGCGAGATGACCACGCGCGTGCACGTGTCTCCTCACCCGTAACCCGTAATGCCCCACATGACCGTTGACCGATGACCCCAGCATACCGTGACCCTGATCACTCGCACGGCCCCGCGGGAGGCGTGTGTCCGGCGGGACAATGCCGGGGCTGTCGGCGGCGCGTCGGCGAGTCGGCGCCGCGGGGCGTGGAGCGGCCGACGGCGGGCGGACGGAAGCCGGACCGACGGACGCAACTCCGTCTCGACGCCTGCAGCCGTGCGGTGGCGGCCGGTCAGCCTGGGTACCATGTATGCCGCCAGTCAGCTGCCGCGTGCTGCTGCCCCGCCGCCAGAGTCACAGCTACTCGCAACGGCCGTTCTGATGAGAGGGACAACATGTAGGCACATTATGTGGGATTCGATCCCACTTCTTGGCACCCAACGTCCGCCCCAGTGGTGGCAGGGTCACCTTTCCTTCACAATGACTGGTGGTGCTGATAAGTGGACACGTCACGGGGTGCCCACTAAATCGGCCCTGGCGGAATCGCATGGTCAACAACACAGCCGCTTTATCTGTGTCTGAGTCGCTGACTGGATTACTGACACCCGCTCCGCCGAGTTCCACACAAAGCCACTACAATTATTCCCTGCATACGCGATGTACTTAACATCCTATCCCTCGCACGGAACGAAAATGACGAGACAGTACCCGACTGATGGGCTGCACCACGCAACAGATGCCCGTCCGACGTTTTTACCACCGCGGTGTTTGGTGTGGGCAGGTTTTTCTCGGCGCCATGCCTTTGTGCGTTGTGAAACACACGCGCGGCCGACACAAGGAGCCGTGTACCAGCGGACGCCGCGTCAGTGTCAATCGCTATCAGCCCAGCCATAGGCCGGCCAGACAAGGGACACGTTCAAAAAGCCGGTATCCTTCAGCGACAGCGAGACCTGTCGGATGCACAGAGACCCAGCCTCGGCGTGCGAATGTCGCTGGTACGGCTGCCGGGGTCAGGTCAGCAGACAGCTAATGCTAATACCTGCCGGGAGACTCGTCGACAAACGACACAGCCGAGGCCATTGGCGTCGACTCATCCGCAGGGAAACAGGCCTGG